AACAAATCTACCTCGCCTGCCGGCCGTCTGCGTACCACACTAAATGTTTATGATCTATGACGACGTGGCCCCACCCCTTCTAGGATCTGTCGGGCCCTATGGGGGGCCAGATTCTCTTGGGGAGGGGGAAGGGGGGTTATTTCTTGTTGTGTTGCTGCTGCTGTTCCTGCCTTGCCCCTATGCCTGCGTGCGGTGTTGTTTCATGGGGAAGGGATGCCTCCGCGACCTCGAAGCTGCTTTGGCAGCCGGCTGGGGGAGGAGGAGACTGTGTGCGTGGGGGTGTTTGTGTGCGTGTGTGTGCTGTTTGTTGCGTGCGCGTGTGGTGGGGGAGGAGGCCCCCCCCCCACCCCGTAGCAGCGCCAGCAGTGGCAGCGCAGACATACAACACTGCCCATAAGTAGCCTTTCTATCAAACTAGGGACTTTGGCTTGAAGGGCGAGCGAGGGCAATGGAGCCTGTGGCCAAGAAGATGCCGAAGTGCAAGCCCACGCTGCCCAGGCCCAAGCCCAAGCCCAGGCCTAAGCCCAGCAGCAGCAGCAGCAGCAGCTTGGCGCCGAGAGCTATCGGGACCAAGCCGGGTGAATACGGCTTCTATGGTCCCGTGCCGTACCTTAGGCCTAAGGCCTCGAGTGGGAGTGGGAGCGTAAAAAAAGCACCGCTCCCACGTGAGCCGCCCCCGGCCCACCTCTTGAAGAAGAGCAAGGGCAAGGGTAGGGTCAAGCGCAAGCTCAAGATTGACCAAGTCAAGATTTTGAAAGCCAACCTGTCAAAGGTCCAGGAATATGTCCGCCACCTCAAGTGCAAGCTGAGGGACCATGGCGTATCTAGCAGCTCTGACGTGGACTGAGGGCTGCCCAGTTAGGCAGCGTAGGGCGAGTAAGAATAAGGGTCTATATAAGAGTTTATATAAGGGTCTTTTTTCTATAACAGTACTCGCCCTACGAATTAGGAGTAGACCAGGTCCTCCTAGGCGTTGGTGCCAACTCGTCCAGTCAGCGCTGCTGGGATTTTTGATTATAAAAGGGACCCAATAAGTCATGAGGGATAAGAGGATTGAGGAGCAATCAGATGGGGTAGAAGGGTCCCGCCTCCCCTCCTCCCCCCTGCCCCACAACGTGGACAACGCGTTCGGCCAGCTGATACCAGCTGCGCGGGCAGGGATGGGGCATGGAGGGAGTGTGTATCTCCCCGCATTTCCTTCCCCCTTTTCTCCTTCTCTCTCTCTCTCTCTCTCTCTCTCTCTCTCTCTCTCTCTCTCTCTCTCTCTCTCTCTCTCTCTCTTCTTTCGGTCGGATTTGAGCTGTGCCCACTTTAGCGTGCTTTAGTGTTCTGCTCGTCTTGACTTTTTGAGTCTTGAGTCTTGAGGAGGAGGAGGAGGAGGAGGAGGAGGAGGAGGAGGAGGAGAAAGAAGGAGGAGGTGGAGGAGGAGGTGGAGGAGGAGGAGGAGAGGAGAAGGAGAAGGAGAAATAAGGAGGAGGAGGAGGAGGAGGAGGAGGAGGAGGAGGAGGAGGAGGAGGAGGAGGAGGAGGAGGAGGAGGAGGAGGAGTTGGAGGAGGAGGAGGAGGAGGAGGGGGAGGAGGAGGAGGAGAAAGAAGGAGGATGAGGAGGAGGAAGAGGAGAGAGGAGGAGGAGGAGGAGGAGGGGGAGGAGGAGGAGGAGGAGGAGGAGGAGGAGGGGAGGAGGAGGAGGAGGAGGAGGAGGAGGAGGAGGAGAGGAGGAGGAGGAGGGAGGGGAGGAGGAGGAGGAGGAGCAGGAGGAGGAGCAGGAGGAGGAGGAGGAGGAGCAGGAGGAGGAAGCGGAGGAGCTCGGAGGAGCAGCAGTAGGAGGAGGAGGAGGTGGAGGAGGAGGTGGAGGAGCAGGACGAGGAGGCGGAGGTGGAGGAGGAGGATGAGGAGGAGGGGGGAGGAGGAGTAGGAGGAGGATATGAGATATGAGATACAAAGGGGACGCAGTGTCCCTCCAGCCACCCTGCGAGCTCTCAGGAGGTCCCTCGTTGGAGCCCTCGACAGAGCTCTCAGGAGGTCCCTCGTTGGAGCCCTCGACAGGAGCCGCTCCTACTCCTGACTGCAGAATCAGGGAGGCATCCTTGGCCCCCTTTGGCAAGCCCGCGTAGCTCGGGACCTTACCCTGCTTGATTCGTGTAAGATTCTGACGCCCCCTCTTGGTGGGGCTGTGACACGGCTCGGCCAGCCCAGCCAGCTTGAGGGTAGCCGTCAAGCCGCACACATTGCAAACATAAAGCATGTGCTCTTGCCACAGGTACAGCTCATGAGACTGGTGGACCTCTTGGTTCCCAAGGATCGAGTACGAATTACTCTTCACAATACTGCTCGGGACGCCCACCCCCCCGCCAACCCTAGGCGCAGGGGCGGGGGTGCACGAAGACTCGGCCGCTTCCTCGACCCTGGACCCAGGAACCAGAAGACGGCAAGCAGAGCACAGCCAGCAACCACCTTGGACGGGGGTCCAGGCATGCTGGCTGGCCGCCAAGGCTCGGGTGAGCTTTGGCTGAGGAGCGGCCCGAATCTTCGGAGGCCTCTTAGCCTCCCAGGCGTCAACTTCGAGCGTGTCAATCAAGGCCTTCCTTGCACGAGTCCTAACCTGCGCAGCAATGGTGTCCCAGACATCCGTGTGCGGGGCGACGCCGATGAGGCCCCGAGAGAGGGCCTCTTGGGCCGCAACGCCCGCCAGGGCATCGGCACAGGCGTTCCCAGCAGCACGGAAGATCACACTAGGCGAGACCAACAGGTGGGCCTGCTCGTCCATGTGGGACGGGATCCACACAACAGAAATCTCGGCGGCTCCCTGGGGTCCTCTGGAGGCAATACCTCGCTTCACACGAGCCCAGAGGTCCCCATTCACCCCAAGAGGAAAGGTCTGCCTCCCCGAGAGCCACCCAAGATACAAGGCACGATTATCAGTGTAAAAGATAAAGGGGCCTTCTGTCGCCTCGACGGCAAGGGCGAAGGCCAGAATCTCCGCACGCGGGACAGCCTGGCGCGCTGGCAGCCCGCCCAGCACGCCTCCCTCGAGGCGCCAGGCGGCCGCCTCCTCGCCAACGGAGACGGAGCAAAAAGCGGCTCCGCAGCGCCGGCGGCGGGGGCCCGCAGTGTGCCCCCCCACTGCCGTCTCCAAAAATATGAAGCACTCCATCAGCTCCACGGGCTCCTCGGAAATCGCCAACCTCGAAGGACCACTCCGCGAGGTCCTCGTCGTACAGCGGCGTCGCGAGGTGCAGCGCGGGGAGGCCACGAAGCCACAGCGACGGCTGGCTCTCATGCTGGACGCTGGCCTGCCCCGCAAGGTGGCTGGTGGAGTCGTACTCCTTGCACCCCCGGTTCGCAGGGCACGACCAAATTCGGTGATACAGGGTCTCGTCCTCGTGGCCGCAGCGGGGGCAGGTGACAGACTCCAGCTCGTAGCCCGCCTCTCTCTGCCTGGCCCGCGGCCATTGGCCACCTGAAGTGACCACGATGTTCTGCGCGTGCATGTCCATCTGGCCTCTGGAGAGGTAGTGCTGCTGCTCGCGGGCGATGAGGGTGGCATCAGCACCCTCGCACAAGCCGTCACCGTGCAGGTGCTTGCTGGCCACGCTCCACATCGCCCGCTTGAGGTCCATCACGAACTCGTCCTGCACCGCCGACGTGTCCATGTCCAGATCCTCGTGGCCAGGAAGGCGCCATTCCACACCACTGGCCGTCGTCCACGAGCGAGCCGCAGTAGGCGACCAGCCCGCGTCCAGCAGCATCGCCATGAGCGCGGCCATGGGGCCACACACAGCTCGCCACCTCCGCTTGGGCCCTGCAATCGCCAGCTTAGCCGAGACGCTGGGCCGCGCGCACTCGATGCGGCCGCGGAGCTGCGGGCCCCGCCTCCAGAGGTCGAGCCATTCGCCGAGGAGCTGGCGCCTGAGCTCCAGGCCAGGCTCCTTGTCGCCGTGGAGGGTGGCGAGGATGCTCGCGAGGCACCTCCCAGGCCCCTTGCCCGCTGCCGACGGTGCCGCACGCCGCCTCGGCCTGAGGATGGCCGAGGGCGCAAGGCCGAAGGCCTGGTGGCCGTCCGTCGACCTCGGCAGCGCCGCAGTAGACCACAGCGCCTTGGTCACTCGGGAGAGCTGGACATGGCGCCCCATCCTGAAGATGCGGCGGAGCTGGCACTGCCCCGCCTTCCTCCTGGTGGGCGCCCTGCGCTGCGTGCGCACTCGCCCCGCGGTGGTGTCCACGCCGAGGTCCACTGCATGGTTGGTGGCCGCACAGGGGGCGCCTCTGCGCACCAGCGCGCGGTGGAGGTCCTTGGCCAGCTGCGGGTGGCTGGCGATGACAACGGTCCTGCCAGAGACCTGCAGGCGCTGCTCGTCAAGGCCAGCCTTGAGGGGCCCCGCCACGCCGAGGATGGTGGAGCGAACGTGCTCAAGCTTGCCCTCAGCCCTCGCCACTGTGTCGTCGACGAAGGTCCACAGCTGTGCATACTCCCACTCAAGGTGGGCAGCCCGCAGTATGGGCGCCAGGAACAGCTTCGCACACTCGTTGCCGTGGGAGCTGCCCGCCACCACCGAGCGCAGCGGCGCGAGGCGAGGCCCCAGCCACCGCTTCTGGCGGAGGTGCCTCGGGGCCATGAAGAGCTGTGTCTCCAGGGCCAGCACCGCCGCAGGGAAGCGCAGGCGGAGCCCCACTTGGAGCAGCCGAGAGAACCCAATGCTGTCGTAGAACTTCTGGATGTCCAGCAGCAGGGTCGCCGTGTGGAACCCCATCGACAGCGACGTCTCGTCCATCAAAGCACGGACGATGGCCGCCCTGAGGGCAGAGCTGCCCTTGATGGCGGTATCCCACCATTGGTCCTGGGAGGCCTCCCACTCGTCCGAGACGGTGGACCTCACCTTGGACCAAATCTTTGCCGTCGTCGCCAACATGCCAATGACTCGGTCCCCCCCCAGCAGGCTTCGGCACCGCAGCACCGATCGTAGTGGTGAGCTGCCATGGCCAGAGAGCCCGCTGTTCGACCAAGCTGAGCAGGTCGACCAGCTGCTGCCGTGCCGACGGGGGGCAGCGAGCAATATCCAACGCCGTGATGTTGTCGATGCCCTTCGCCCTCTTAGACGACGTCCGAGAAAGCACCACATCCAGCCTCTCCAAGGTGATGGGCTCCAGGGGGTCCTCAGCAGCTCGCGCACGGAGGTCACCCAAGTCCTGTGGGACCTGACCCTCGTCAAACTCAGGGTCCGACCACACCTTTTCCCAAGCTTCAGTTTTCAGACGCATGATGCTGCACGGGTCGGCAACGGCAGTGTCCCGCAGAAGCACCTCAGTCTGCTGTACCTGCGGCTCGCGCACATGCCTATATACAACCCCCGCCTTGGACTTCCAGGACTCCTTTGCCCACTTGATGAAGCCGCGGCGCGCCTTGGCATGGGATCTGCCCAAGGCTCTGCTCGCCCAGCGCTCGGAAACCTCAATGAATGGATCAAGTGCGCCGATGAGGTCGGAGGATGACATGAGGTGGAAGTCATCTCCGATTGACGCCAGGAGAGCATCCTTCGCATGCCTCCACTCATCCAACTCAGCACTGAGAGCATTGCCGAACTACTTGGCGCGGTGGGCCTCGTCCGCAATGGTATCACACCGCTGCTCGAGGTCGCCCAAGACGTAGTCCAACTGGTCGCTGTCCGTTTTGTTCGCCACCAGGGCGCGGGCCCGAATTGCCAAGGTCGTCAGGGTGCTCCACAGCTCGACGCCAGCGTCCACCGTGTGGGCCCTCCCTGGGGTGGTACTCGCCTTGACCCGCTTGATGGAATGCCCATGCGCCCGACCTCGACAAGCCCTGGCCTGATCAGGGGGAACCCGCTCGACAGCAATGTGGGCCTCCTCAAGCCGGGAGATCCACTTGCCATACGCAAGGCTGACCTCCTGGACGTCGTCAGGACAACTGGCATTGATGAAGTACCCCATCTGACCAGCTCGCAGGATAGGATCTCCCAATGCAGGACGACAGCTGGGCCAAACGTCCTCCGCGATGCAGAGCGGCTTCGCGTCTTCAGGGTGCCGGCCCTCGCCCTGCTCGCGCATCTCGGGGAGCGTCTCCTGGAGCTGCCGCGGCAAGGCGCGGGCCCGCGACTGCAGGGCCCCCGCCTTGCGCCTCGAGGACTTGCTCTCTCACCACCCACCAGACCACCCCAACCCAACCCGAAGGCCTCAATTTGCCCTCCATTTCCAGTTGGGGGGGGTCGGGGAACATCGAAAAAACACGTATGGAACCCGTACCCCCCCCAACCCGAAATTCGGGTCTTCGGGTTGGGTTGGGGTGGTCTGGTAGGTAGTCACTCTGGGTCTGGCTCCCTGGGCGGCCTCTCTCTCGGGCTGGGGGGCTGCGGGCAACAGCAACGCGCTCGTCGTGATGCCATCGGCGGTCGGAGCCCTCGAGGGTGGCCTCGATCGCGCAGTGGTTTTCTTCCACGGGGCGCGTCGAGAGTGGCCTGCGGGCGGAGCCGATGGTGCCACCCTTGGCTTCGCCACTGCACAGTCGTACACCTTGGGCGATGCTTAAGAAAACTTGAAATTTCGGCCAGGGTCTCGATGATTCTTAATGTTTCAATGTAACTCCTGAGATGTTAATGGACTTTTTTTTGGTTTTTATTCAAGTTCTGAGACTATGAATTTCTTAACCCATGATTTCTTAAGCATTTCGCAGGGTGTACATGCGGCCCTGACCCTTGTCACAGGTCGTCCTTACACATTCGATGGGGTAACCGCCGCGCCGCCAAGCTTGCCAGGCCACTCGCTCCTGTCCCACTCAGGGGGCTCGGGGTTCCAGTCCGCGAGGAGGGCCCACGGGTCGGACAGGGTGGACACGCAGCTGCCCGCCGCCAGGAGCCGATTGCGGTTGACGCCACCAAACTTGAGTCCTGGCTGCAGGTACATCGCCACCAAGACAACATTGCCCTCCTTCAGGTGGAGGACCACAGGGCAGAAGCCGACGAAGATCTCCTTCCCCGTGGTCGTACGTCGTCGCCGCCAAGGTCTTGTCGAGGCACCACATCTCCCCTCCAGAAGTGCCCGACTTGGCCTCCCCAGAGGGCGTGGCCAGCGTGCCAGCCACCCTCCAGCCATCCTTACCCAGGGCCACTTGGGTGGCCGTCAGCTGCTCCGCCGTGGCGTGGGTCTCCACGAAAGCGATGGCCTTGTACTTGCGTTTGCCTCTCTCTGCGAGGAACTTGGCAGCCTGGGGGCCGTACTCAGTGATGTTGGCAAACAGGATGGACGCCTGCTTGCCCTCTGTTCTCTGTCGACGCCTCTCCTCAGGAGTACGTCGCTGTGGTCTGCGCGTCCCCACGAGCCATGGCCGCTGGGAGCTCGCTGCGCCAGTGGCTGACGTTGGCCTCCACGCGGAAGGCTCATCCATGTACTCGTCGTGCGCGTGGGGCTCATCGTCCAGGTCCGCGAAGACGTCGGCCTCCACCTCCATGTGGCGGCATAGGCTGGCAGGGGCAGGGGCCCGACCCGTCACCGAAGGCATCGGCCACCCGCCCGTCGGCGGCTTCGGCGACGGGGATCGCGTGGAGTGAGGACTCGGCCACCCGCGCGGCCGCGGCACACTCTCGATGCGTCTAGCCCCGCTCTCTCCTGCCATTATGCCCAGCCGCCATTGCTCCATGTCGACGTACCGCGAGGTCCAGGCCGACGTGTAGTCGGGCAGGTGGAAGCCCTGCAGCACGGAGTCGCTAAAGCTGGCCCCCAGCAGGCCCTGCACCAGCAGGAGGAGCAGCTGCAGGGGCCACGCCAGCAGCGGCAGTCGCCACCTTGGCCTTCGCGGCAGCAGCGGCCTTGGCCGTGCGGCAGGCCATGGACGCGGCCTCGCCAATCTGCTTGGCGCTGCGCTCCTGCTCCTCTGCCTCCTTATCAGCGCGGGCCTTGGCTGCTGCCTCGGCCGCGCTCTCTGGGGCCTGGCCGCCCAGGCGCTGGGGAGGCGGGGCCCTCCTGCACCCGCCTGCGCTTCTTCTGGGCCTCACGGAACTCCTTGACCCTCTGCCGCTGCATGCGGCAGCTGGCCTCGAAGTTGGCCCTCGCTTCCTCCAAACGATGGTCTTACCCTCCGTGCAGAGCCTGCGGAGCTCCTCCTGGGCCTGCTCCTCCAAGTCCCCCCCAGTCCTCGAAGCTCTCGGCGCCGAAGTGGAAGGTGGCCTGGCGGGGCGGGTCGACGGAGGCAGCCGCAGCGCCCGTCTCCTTGGCCCCGAGAACGAGGAGGTCGGCCTCCTCGCGTTGGGCGGAGTCGAAGTTCGCAGCGCACTGGTCACGCCACTCCGTCGCCTCCGCAGGCTTGTCCTCTGCCTCCGTGTGCGCGTTGGCGGCCTCGTCGAGGACCCTGCGCCAATGCAGTCGTCGGTCCATAGCTGACTGCAGCTTCTGCGCCAGGGTGCGCACGGCCCGGGGCGGGGGCGCAGCCTTGTACTCCCTCGCCGCCCTGAGGACCCGCTCGAGCTCGCCGCGGGTGCCCTCGTCGGGGCACGCCAGGAGGCGCGCGAGCTCGTCACTGGCACCACCCTGCGAAACCCATGGAGCATCAGGAAAGGCTTGACGACGCTCACCCTGTCCTGGGCTTGCAGGTCGGGGGGCGGCCCCGTCGGCCAGAGCATGTGAGGCCTTGCCACGCTTGGGGCCGCCGCCGCCAACGCCCGCCCCCCACACGCCTCCTGGCTGCTGCACGCGGCCAGGAGAGGGCTTGAGCGGGCTCGCACATCTCCAGCACCAGTGGTTGCGCCTGAAGTTCCAGGCGTAGCTGCAGGACTGGCACCTGGCGTATCCCTCGGCAGCGCGGCGCGCCTCCTGCTGGCTCTTCCCCATGCTGGACAAGAGGAACAAAGAGTGCTCACCTGCGGGCAGCAGGAGGCTCGAGGGTCGAACAAAACTGTCGGGCTAGGGAGCCCTGGCACTGGCCGCAGCGGTATCCACGTGTTCCCGTGTGTAACGAGGCATCTTGAGCCAAAATGGCTACGGAGGAATAGGAGGAGGAGGTGGAGGAGGAGGAGGAGGAGGAGGAGGAGGTGGAGGAAGAGGAGGAGGAGGAGGAGGAGGAGGAGGAGGAGGAGGAGGAGGAGGAGAAAGAAGGAGGAGGAGGAGGAGCAGAAGAAGGAGGAGGAGGAGGAGGAGGAGGAGGAGAAGCAGGAGGAGTAGCAGGAGCAGGAGGAGGAGGAGCAGGAGGAGGAGGAGCAGGAGGAGGAGCAGAGCAGAAGGAGGAGGAGGGAGGAGGAGGAGGAGGAGGAGGAGGAGGAGGAGGAGCAGAAGGAGGAGCAGGAGGAGGAGGAGGTGGAGGAGGAGGAGCAGGAGGAGGAGGAGTAGGAGGAGGAGGAGGAGGAGCAGGAGCAGGAGGAGGAGGAGGAGGAGGAGGAGGAGCAGGAGGATGATGAGGAGCAGGAGTAGGAGGAGGAGTAGGAGGAGGAGGAGGAGGAGGAGGAGGAGGAGGAGGAGGAGGAGCAGGAGCAGGAGCAGGAGGAGGAGGAGGAGGAGGAGGAGGAGGAGGAGGAGGAGGAGGAGGAGGAGGAGGAGGAGGGGGCCGTTTGTCATCACGGAGAGGGGGACCCAGACATCCAGCTGCTGAAATTTTCTCGATGCGTGGGCCCGCTGGCGGTGATCCGGAACACTTCTCTGGGGCCAGTTTTTCGTCCCGAGTCTTTTTTCTTGACGTTCCCGAAGCCCGGCGAGGGCCCCCAGAGGCCGAACATGGCCCAAAAATTGCCCGCTCTCCAACTTGTTCTGGAGCGTCGGGTCTCAGGGGATGGGGTGTACGGCGGCCCGCGGGGCAAGGCTTCGCCAGCGGGCTCGGGGCTCGGGCACGGGGCTCGTCTTGGTTGAATTTGGGCATGTCCCTGTGCAGGAGGACTATTCAAAAATTGCAAAAATAGTCAGGGGACGATTTTTCTGGTTTATTTTTGAATATTTGTTGCCCACAATCCGCCATGGAGTCTTCCAGGGAAGGCCAACGACGCCGCAGCCAGGAGAGCTCGGCCGGTGCCTTGCCTGGAGCGCCCGCGTCGGCGTCGCCTCCGGTTTGTCGAGCCGCTGCTGCAGCCCGCCCTCCCCGCCAATGCCCCACCTCCGCCCCGCCTCCGCCTCCCTGCACTCCTCGTCGTCCTCCTCCTCCTCTTCCTCTGCCTCCCCCTCCCCCTCCTCCTCCTCATCCTCCGCCTCCTCCTCCTTCTCCTCCTCCCCCTCCGCCGTAGAGGTTGTATCTCAGTGACCCGGAACATGAGATTCTGTATTGGCTTCCCCAGTTGAGCAGGATGCATGAGAAAAGAGAGTCTGGCCAATGGTAAGTAGCTGCCAACTCACATGACTAATGCATGCAATGTTGTTGGTTTTCAAAGCAAGGGGGCGACTGAACAACGCTGTTGAGCAGTTCACTGAATGGCAGGATGCGCTTACATGAACACGGACGCGAACAAGACTCAGTCTGTGGGCGCCGCATCCAATTACGGTGGAGGCGTTGGATGAGGAAACCTTAAATAAGACATCCAAGGTCTGGAAGATATTGGAATTCCAATTATGGATCGAACATGGACCATGGGTATCGCAACTGCCTTCACCAGGTAAGGAATCATCCAGGGTCTGAGCCATCCTGGGCACATTCCTTAACCAACGCCACCACCGTAATTCATTGGGAAGACGTTCCAGCGTGGATCCGAGAAATCCGCGCGGACCTCGGAGGTTTTTATGTTTACGTCATTCTTCGTTCCCCTAGTATCGATCCTGTCGCTCCGATTCGACGGCAATTCTCCGGCCGGCTCGTCGCCGGTTCGATCCCGAGATTCTCACGATGCGATGCGGCCCGATTGGCTGCGGGACGCTGCTTGTGCATCCAGGCGCGGCCGATCCGATTCGCTGTCGACCTCATGCCGATGCAGCCCGATCCGGGGCAGACTCCGGCTCGATCCGATTTTCAAGATCCGATGTGTACCGTTTGATCCTGGAGCCCATCATAGATTGAGTACGCGTCGCACCAGGGGACACGCTGAGCGAGGCACAGGCATGCCGCATGTCTCTTGTCGCGCCCTGAGTCAGCACGACTGATCTCGGGCCCCCCTCCTCCCTCCTCCCTCCTCGTCCTCCTCTTCCTCCTCTTCCTCCTCCTTCTCCTCCGTAGCCATTGTGGCGCAAGACGGCTAGCACTGTTTGCCCCTGGTTTCCCTCTTGTCGTCGAGCGGCCTGCACCCACTTTTGGTGTTTGTAGTTGTATGTTTGTCTTGGCGGGCAGACCGCTGAGGTTGATGTCTGCTTATTCGAACACGCATGGTAATGCTTTGAACATTGCTTTGCTTTCTCACAGATCGATAATTTCGTCCCCGACCCGCAGGCGTCTCCGGCAGCTTGACCTTGCGTGTCAGTTCGACACGTCACCGACCTTTGGGCTGAATCACCACTCTCCGTATTGAAGGCCCAACTGGCGGCAGCACTCCCTGAGCTGTGCGTCGGCCCCCTCGTTGTCACCCGTCGTTTTGCGCATGGTCGTTGGTGCGGACAGCTTTCGCACTCATTCAATGGATTCCGCAAGGACGCGCACTCGTTCAGTCCAGGTCAGGTCCCCACTGCTCATACAGCGGAGTGGCAGTCTTTGATCTTCTTTGTGGCTGAGGCGCTGCAGCAAGCGCAACCTAGTTACGATTCCCAGCTTGCTGCATCCGCTGGCCTTGTAGCTTCCCACAACTGTAGGACATTTTCAACGGACTTGTAGAGTTGTAGAGTCGCCTCGCTCTATGCCTTTTTCGGGTTCCTCTTCTCATTCTCCTCGCATGCTGATGCGTCAACGGAGTCGGCGAGCGAGGGGCTTTCCCCAGGCGACGCGGGCCATCAGCATGTTGAGGCGGATTCCAGTCAGAGGCAGATTTCGTAGCTGACTGGTACTTTTGACGCTGAGTTTACTGATCATGGTTCTACTGCTATGTCAGATTTCGGAAGCAAGCTTTCCTGGAGCCGACGGCTCCGAGTCATTTGAAATTCATGATGCCTGTTTTGGAGGAGCAATTTTGAAAGATGCTGGAGTTGAATTCCGCTGGGTGGAGAGCGGCCGGAGAAGGATCAGGGAGACTTCAATGGTAGCTTGTGTGGGCAGCTCTCCGCGGCCCAGGAGCTGACAAACTTCTTGCGCGCGAGCATCCGCACGCTTTCCGGTCGCCTCAGGGTCGCGAAGGCTGTCCGACACGCATTGGGCGTCGCGACCGGTGGTCATGCCACTGGCGAGGCACGCTCTGCGTCTTCTCGCTCTCCTGGACTTCCGGTGCTGCGGCTGCGTGTCCCTCGCGTGGAAGCCCGCTGCCCTCGGCGGGGGTGTGGGCGTGTGCAGGTTTGGCAGGGCACGCAACAGAAAGAGCTGTTCATTCATCCACCCCCAGGGGCCGCGAGATCGACGGCCTGCCACTCAGCAGCGCCAAGATCGACGAGATCGGTGCTGAAGCGGATGTCTTTTCCCCACTTCTAAAGTGGGCGTCATGTTTTCTCCGGACACCCCGCGCAGTCCTCACCTCACTTCACCCCCCCTCTCTCGCACACGCGCACACACATTAACATCATCGTCATCATCGCCATCGCTCAGCGCCATCATCATGACACTCATTCATCATCATCGCTATCACGCCACCATCGTTACCATCGCCATCATCATCGCATACACTTATACACTCGCACCCACACGCTCATCTTGACGAAGTCTCATGCAGGAGCCTCGTCTGCGAGTGACTTGCGAGGATGTCTCAGGCGGGAGCGCCCTTCCTATGGGGCCCGCAGATAATGTCATTCATCCGTGGAATCATTCGACTCCTATATCTGTCGTCATGTTTGGGCTCCTGAGACTTGAATATGGGGGAAGTATCTGGCGGGAGCCTCTGTGAGTGAGTCGCGAGGAAGTCTCAGGCGGGAGCCCCCTCCGTATGTGGCCCCCAGATCAAGTTATTAATCCAAAGGGGTCGTTCGATTCTTGTAACTGTCGTCACTCTAGGGCTCCTGAGGCGTGAATCTTGATGAAGTCTTAGGCGGGAGCCTCGTCTGCGAGTGATTTGCGAGGAAGTTTCAGGCGGGCCCCCCCTGCCCATGGGCCCGGCATTTCGTGTTCGAGTCCGAGCGGATCATCCTCAAACCAGTACCTGTCGTCTTTTTTGGGCCCGTTCGGGTTGACTCTTGCGGAAATCGTAGGCCGGGCACCTCGTCTGTGGGTGAATCTCGAGGACGTCTCGGGCGGGAGCTCTCTCTGTGGGTCCCGTAGCTCAGGTAGCCAACCAGAGCCCGTGCGTACGTGCTGTCTCCTTGTGGCTCCCGACGCCCGGATCCGGAGGACGTGTCGAGTGGGAGTCTCGCCTGGGAGTGCATCGCGGGGGCGTCTCCAGCTCGCGCTCGGAAGAGGCCGCCCCTTGCTTCGGAGCTCGCCTCTCCGCTGGCCTGCCACTGGCCCTCACGGGCCACCCCTCCCCTCCCTGTGGGGCTCGCACTTCGTGCTGGCAATGCGAGTGTTGTGTGCCGAGCTGGTCGTCGGCAAACTTGTTCTCGTCATGGGCCCACGTGCCCGAAATGGGGAATTCCCGCGGTTCCGCAGCAGCGTAGGACACGATAGCGACGGAGGAGTTCGCGACGGCGGCGACGAGACGGCGGCCGGGCGCAGGGGTAACCTCTTGTGTCCAGGCTTGGGGTGGTAACCCATCCTCGGCCGAATCGGGGGACAGGGGTAACCCCTTGTCTCCGGGCCGCCGGTGGTAACCCATCGGCGACCGAATCGGGCGCAGGGGTAGCCCCTTGCATCCGGGCCGCCGGTGGTAACCCATCGGCCTCCGAATCGGGGGCATGGGCAACCCCTTGTCTCAGGGCCGCTGGTGGTAACCCATCGGCGGCCGAGGGACGAGGACGCTGGCCGCACGGGCGTGTCGGACGATGGTGGCTGCATCTCTACGTCATGTTCTTCCGCGCGACGCGCATGCGGAATATGACGATTCTGCGGCCGCCGCCGCGCGAGTTCCTCGAGCGAAGGCCGCAGGCGTCCTTGCGGACGGCGCTCCTGGAGTTCGACAGCTGTGGGGCAGAGGCAGATCAGCTCGCAGCAGAGCTGGACTTCGTGCTGCCTCCCGCCTGAGCGCGGCGTCGCCCCGCTCGAAGCCCGCGGGTTTGTCCCAACGGCCAGGTCTCGCCCGGCAGCGGCTCGCGGGGTTGCTCCGATGGCCTGGCCCAATGGGTTGTCCCGACGGCTTCGCGATGTGGCCATTCGAGAACGCGCCCGTGCTGACCGAGGCGGCGGCGGCGCCGAGGGAAACCGACACGCGCGCTCATGCAATAAGAAGGGGAGGGGTTGCGGGGGCTGAGCAAAAAAGAAGAGGGCGAGGAAGGGGGCAACGTAGGGAGCGGGGGGAGGGCTTGCGCCAGGGCGAGGAGGAGAATGACGCAGAGGAGGCAGTGATGGCGCCCGGCCGATCACGAGGACCCTGATTGGGGTCATTTGTTTCCAGATTCGCCGAGAGGATGCTCGTGCGGGGTCCCACCGATGGAGTCATTTGCGTATCTGGAAGCGCTCAGGTCGCTGGGCCACCATGACGTGCCCCCTGAACCACCTATTGAGTGATCGTGTTTGGTTTTCGTGGCTGTGGCTGCACAGTGCCCCTCTCTGCGATTGCATCGCACAGTTTCGCTATCATGGCCGCTTCCCTTCGTTTTTTCTTTTCGTTGTGCGTGTGCATCTGCGAGGTTATTCTATCATGGTCCACCGTCCATGATGATGCCTTGTTGTGCGGGGTGCGGAGCTTCCGACATGTTCAGAGACTTCATGCGCCACGCTGTGCTTAATCATCCTCCCCCTCTTCCTCTTCATCCTCCTCCTCCTCCTCCTCCGTCCTTTCTTCCTCCTCCTCCTCTTTCTCTTCCTGCTTTCCCTCCTCCTCCTCCTCCTCCTGCCCCTCCTCCCCCTCATCTCCATTTCTCCTCGTTGTCTTCGTCCTCCTCCTCGTGGATTATGTCCACATGGCATCATAAATGCCAGTCGTCCTCCTCCTTCCCCTTCCTTCCTCCTGCTGCTGCTTCTCTTCCTTCTCCTCCTCCTCCTCCTCCTCCTCCTCCTCCTCCTCCTCCCCATCGATGTTGACTCTTTTTGCCTGCATTCGGCGCCCGCAGGCGGAGGCGGTGGCGGTCACTACTCGCAGCCGGAGGGGCGCTGGGGGCCGGGCCAAAGGACCATCAGAGGGTCGGCCTGGAGGTCTGCGCACGTGTGTCGCCCTCCCCCCTGGATTCCCCGAGCAGGAGCGGGAACGGCGGGATGCGGACATGTGACCGATGGGGGGGGTGGGGGGGGGGGCAGGGGTGGAAAGAGGAGGAGGAGGAGGAGGAGGAGGAGGAGGAGGAGGAGGAGGAGGAGGAGGAGGAGGAGGAGGAGGAGGAGGAGGAGGAGGAGAAGAGGAGGAGGAGGAGAGGAGGAGGGAGGAGGGAGGAGGAGGAGGAGGGAGGGAGGAGGGAGGAGGAGGAGGAGGAGGAGGCGGAGGAGGAGGAGGAGGGGGAGGAGGAGGAGGAGGATGAGGAGCAGGAGGACCAGTGTAAACCCAAGAGTCATCAACGATGTTGGAATGAATCCTATCTCCAAGCTCCCTCTTCATATGCCCAGACAACGGTTCTTTTCCATTGTTGGAACTGCCTCGTTAGAAGACAGCCGTTTGAAAACCCAGAAGCATGCCAAAACATGGTTCTCGGGATTCCAAAGCCACGGATCAATATGATACGTTGATGATGAGAATCCGTGAAGCTCTTGCACGATTTGCAAACGAATGTGCACGGCGCTAAGGCGAGAGCCACATTTGAAAAGGAACCGCCCTCAATTCGTGAAATTATTGCACGTTGTTTTAAACGAATGTGCGCGGCGCTAAGGCGAGAGCAACATTTTGAATAGGAACCGCACTCATTCCAGGAAGCTCTTGGACATGTTTTAAACGAATGTACGCCGCGCTAAGGCGAGAGCCACATCCGTGAAGGTCTTGCATTTTTTAAGACGAGTGTGCGCCGCGCTGAAGCGAGAGCGCATTTTGACAACGACCCGCCCTCCATCTGTGAAGCTGTTGCCAAATTTTGAGCTTCAGAGTCAGGGGTGGTGAGGAAGTCTCAGGCGAAACGCCCGGCCCGCCCTAAGAACTTGCCTCGGGGTGTGACAGTGAGAAGATTCGTAAACAAGGAATTATGGAGGAGGAGGACGAGGATGGAAAGGACGAGGGGGAGGCCATAAACAGGATGACGTAATGGATGGTGATCATGGGGGGAGGAGGGAGATCTGGATGAGGAGGTGGCGGCTCTGTCTTCGACCGGCCACAGGCCACCAGTTCGAGCTCGAGGAGGAGGAGGCGGAGAAGGAGAGGAGGCGGAGGAGGAAGCATATGAGGACGAGGAGGAGGAGGAGGCGGAGGAGAAGGAGGAGGAGGATGAGGAGGAGGAGCGGCTGGAGACCGTATACCGTGTAACGGCATGGGTGTTTTGAGTCTGTGTGTGTGTGCGTTGACATCACGTTTGAAAGTGCAATGGGGTCAGAGGATTTTGAAGACGATGAAGATGAGGATATGGAAGGAGAATTTATTCATGACACATCTAAGCAATTCTCACGGCGGAAGTTCCAGCCTGAGAGTTTCCAGATTTTGGTAAATTAGAATAGAGTAGAGTAGAGTTCAACCCAGTTCAGTCCTGTATGCTCCATGCGAGGCTGCTTCAGTTCACACCCGTCAACTTCACATCAGTCTTCTGATACATTTGGGGCCTGCGCTGGCTGGTATGTGATAGTGTAGAGTCCCAGGTCGAACATCCAATGCTCCCTCCAGGGCCAATGGCAAGTGGAGTCCAAATGAAATCCAATCGGAGTCCAATTATAATTATCTGGATCCGGGATCTCCTCCATTCTACTTGGACTGCAATTGGAATGCCGTTGTAATCCAAGTGGAGTTCCCTAGACTTGGGATCAGACCCATTCTAATTGGGATCTAACTGGAGTCAATGTGTGATCAGTTCGGACGCCTCCCGCCTGAGAGGTCCCCCAAAAAACAAAACAGAAGAAGGCTCCCATCTGAGAGGTCCCCCCCGCAAGAATTCCACAGGAGGAGGCTATCGCCTGCGGTCCCGCAAAACCCAAACAGAAGGAGGCTCCTGCCTCAGAGGTCCCAAACAATACCCAAACAGGAGGAGGCTCCCGCTTCAGAGGTCCCAAGCCAAAACAGGAGGAGGCTCCCGCCTGAGAGTTCCCAGTAAAACCCGAACAGGAGGAGGCTCCCGCCTGAGAGGTCCCAAACAACCCAAACAGGAGGACGCTCCCGCCTGAGAGGCTCTCAAAAAGACAAAGAAACCAACATCATGCCTCTCATCCTTGTGACAGACCCCCCTTCCCACCGAATAAAACCACCAAAGTTCCAGAAGAGACGGTAACCCTTGTCAACGCATCTGGGGCAGCGGTGTCGGTTCACCGTTGCTTGCTTTTGTTGTTTGGGGACAGTTACTGGGGGTTGGGTTTCCTTGAGTTCTCTGAGGGCCTCTCGTGCGGGAGCCTCATCCTGTTTGGCTGTGACCTCTCACGCGAGAGCTTCCTCCTGTGCTGATTGTTTGGGTCTCTCAGGCGGGAGCCTCCCGGTTGGGTTTGTTTGGGACCTCTCCTTCGGGAGCCTCCCGTTCTGTTTTTTTGGGGGGCCTCTCAGGCGGAAGGCTCCTCCTGTTTTTTTTTTTGGTTTTGGGGGGGACCTCTCGGGCGGGAGCCTCCTCCTGAAGTGTGGGTGCTTCTGGTGCCTCTCGGGCGGGAGCCTCCTCCTGTTCCTTGGTGGTGGGGGACCTCTCGGGCGGGAGGCTTCCAAGCTGATCCCACTTGGATCCCGCTCAGGTCCCTGCTAGACTGGGTCAGATCCCAGGCCGAGAGAGCCTTCATTGTGCTCCAACTGGGTTCTGAGCGCGTTCCAGGTAGAACGGAGGGGAGCACACATTCCGAGGGTTCCAATTGGACCCCAGTAGGATTTGATTCGGGTTTCAACTACCATGGGCCCTGTAGGAGCATTGGATTTTTTCTGGAACTCCAAATTCTCAAATACCAGCCACCGACGACACAACATATGTCAGAATACTGGATTGGAGTTGACTGGAGGTGACTGAACCAGACTGAACTGGAGTAGACTTGACTAGGCTGGGGTGGATTTTACTCCACTCCACTCTATTATACTCTACGCTATTCGAGTCTGCCCGACTCTACTCGGCCATCCCCCCCACGCTACTGTACTCTGGTCCGCTCTACTCTACCCTATGCTACGCCACCCCTATATTAGCTTAAAATAGTCGGTTGTACGTACACCGGTTCTATTCTATTCCTATAATATCATCGGAGGTTGGGGGGTGAGATCGAAGAGGAACGGAGAGCCCCCCTACCAGGAAATCGATTTCGGTTTCGTGTTCGTGCCGTGCGTGCGGGCGAGGCGAAGCTGCGTGGGCGGGGGAGAGGAAATTCTCCTGTGGCTGGGCCGCGGCTGGACCAAAAGGTTCTCCGCCCGGCAGCCGGTGGCGCGCGGTGTCCCGCCGGTGTCCCGCTGGTGTCCCGCTGGTGTCCCGCCGGTGTCCCGTCGTGGCTGGGCCGCGGCTGGACCAAAAGGTTCTCCGCCCGGCAACCAGTTGCGCGCGGTGTCCCGTCGGTGTCCCGCTGGTGTCCCGCTGGTGTCCCGCCGGTGTCCCGTCGTTGTCCCGTGGTGTCCCGTGGTGATATCGACAGTGGGATCGATAGTGAGATCGATAGTGAGATCGATAATAGATCTCTAGTGAGAGATCGATCGTGAGATCTATAGTGAGATCGATCGTGATATCGATAGTGAGATCGATCGAGTGGGATCGATATCGAGATCGATAGTGTAATCGATAGTGAGATGAATAGTGAGATCAAAGCGAGATCGATAGTGAGATCGATAGCGAGATCGATAGTGGGATCGATAGTGGGATGGATAGTGATATCGACAGTGAGATCGATTGTGTCCCGTCGGTGTCCCATCGGTGTCCCGTCGGTGTCCCGTGGTTTCACGTGCTGAGATCGATAGCGATATCGATACCGATATTGGTAGTTAGATCGATGAGACCGATAGTGAGAACGATAGTGAGATCGATAGGATGATCGATACTTAGATCGGCTGTCAGATCAACAGTGAGATCGATATTGAGGCTCTTAACAACAAGGTTCTTAACACCAAGGCTCTCAATAATGAAGGGTGCCATGAACCATCTCGGGCAACTTTCCTCCTCCTCCTTCTCCTCCTCCTCCTCCTCCTCCTCGCGGCTCGAGTCGATTCCCTGTGGAGGGGGGGGGAAAGGTACCAAGGCGCCCAAGAGCGAAGGGTGACGTAAACAACTCGACACCACGGCTCCCAAGAGCGAGTGGCAACGCAACGATCTCCACTGGCATCGTCAGAACAGTAATCACCACTGTTGCCCATTGCTGGCCCCCTCCCCCCAAACCTCCTTATCACGCGCAGGGTGGTCGTACAGGTCGTATACGCCCGTTCAATACTACTCTTTTCTACTCTGGCCAACCTTGTTCTAGTCTGGCCCGTACTACTCTACTCTCGTAAGCTCACGCTGGTTCATCATCTACCCAACTCTGCTCCATGCGATTTTGTTTTTACTCTACAAGGCTTTATTCTACCCTACCGTATGCGATCCCCATCTACCCACCTTTATTAAATCGTGGTATGCCCTATTCTACCTCTTGCATATGTATACGGTCAGGCTAGGTTGTCATACTTTACTCGGCCCTCGCATTACACACTCTACTCTACTCTACTCGACTGTATTCTTCCCTGCTCCGCTCGATTCTACTCTACCTACCCAGTTCTCCTCTAGCATCTGCCCTGTTCTAGTTTGCCAGCTACCCAACCCTAGCCTACTCTATTATGCCTTTCTCATCTCTCTTATATGTGGATCCACTCTGGTTCTACTCTACTCACATCCTGCTCTGCTCCTACTCTAATCTCTAGTCTAGTATCATATGCCCTACCCTGCTCAACTCTATTATTCCCCGCTACGTTCTACTCTACTCTAGTATACCCTACGCTGCTTGATCATCTACCCTACTCTGCTCTACCCTGCTTTGGTCTACTCTACCCTCTTCTACCCTACACGACCCGATTATACTCAAATGAAGTCTGATTGCTCTACCCAGTCCTCTTATACTCGACGTCGACTCCTACTCTGCTCCTACTCTACTCTGGGATGCAATCCTCTACTCGACCCTGTTATACTCAGTAATGCCTTACCGACTTTACTCCACCTGCCTGGTTCTACCCGACCGTCAAAATTGTTCTTTTGTAGCTCCTACGCTAATCAAGCCTACTCTACCTTACCTTATTAATCGCTTCGCTCATTCCGCTGGCCCTGGAGCGTTATTTGGGGCCTCTTGGGGCCGTCTTGGGGGATTCTTGGGGGCTTCTTGGGAGCGTCTTGGGGCTCCTTCGCGGCGTCTTGGGCTCCCCTGGGGCCTTTTAGGGGGCTCTTGGGGGCCCCTTGGGGCGGGAGGGGGGGTAGTCGATTGCAGCCATCCCCTCGGAGGCCACGATCCGCGTGAGGGGTGGCGAAACATAGCCTCCCCCCTGGGGATCGCCCGGGACCCGGCCGGGGATCAGCCGGGGTACTTTTCGTCCGGGGGCCCCCAGGGGCCGCCCCGCGCGCGCGAACTAGAAATATTGTTAAGTAGTTACCGGAGATCTTAGCACGCCTCTGGCCCGTTGGGCCGGCGAATTCTAGTCTATTTTATTCCAACCCTCCTCGGCTCTACTCCTACCCTGCACTACTCTACTCTCCTCGATTCGGCTCTAGTCTGTTCTGGCCTGCTCCACTCTATCCATCTGTGATTATCTGCCCAAGTCTATTCTACTCTAATGGCAGCCATGTCTACGCTATGCAAAAACATGATTATATGGTACACAGCACTTCATTGTTTCCCCTGTCATCGAGTTCACGCCCTACCCCGTGATCCACTATGTGTTCGCCTTCTCTCTCTCTGCCTCTCCCCCTCTCTCTCTCTCGCAACCCCTCCCTTCCCGCACTATACTTGACTCTGCTACTCACGCCCAGCTCCCGCTATATGGCATACGCTCTGCCACCTCATATGCTCACCGCTTTTCTGCTCCATATTCAGCTCTTGACCCTACTTGACATACCATCCTACCCTGCTCTACTGTAGTCCCTACTCTCTATCCTGTAACTAACGACGGTCCACTTTACACACTACTTGTTAGTTTGGTCTCCGCGCTGCCCGCTACACCACAGTAGACACCATAATAGGCACTACAGTAGACACTACAGTAGAGAAGGGCCGAGTATTATCTCGACTCGATCGAGTATAGAGCACAGCATAGGGTGTGGAGAGACCATTGTAGAGCGAGCGGCAGAACGTAGAGTAGGTCGTTGGAGTAGAGCGGGTGGCAGTGTAGACGGTGGAGAGTAGGGGTAGGGGGTAGACGTACAGGTGAATTTTGGGAAGGGCGTCGAGTTCGGATTCAACGTTGAGCGATGTGACAAGGTACTAGACTAGAGTAGAGTATACGAGAATACCCGTTACACTAGAGTCGAACACATGATATACAGTAAAGAAATGTTGACGTTGAGTAGAAAGGAGAATCGTATGAGAGAGTATAACCTACTAGGGTACTTGTGCGTATGTAATCAATACGGGCGTTTTGTTATTGTTGCTGTTCTCTCGCTCTCGCCCTTTCCTCTCTGAGTCTATCAATCCTTCCCTCTCTTTCCTTCGCTCTCGTTCTTTCTCCATGTATGTATGCATACATGTTTATTTCCAATCTATATAGAGAGAGAGAGGAATAGAGAGAGAGGGATATATATATATATATATATATAGAGAGAAACAAAAGAGAGAGGGAAGCCCAGGTCCAGGCCTTTTGGGATCTGGCGTCTGAGGGGGAGGAGGAGGACGACCAGTGTAAACCTAAAACGCATCAGTGATGTTGCAACCCACCCTCCCTCCAAGTTCCCGTTCCATAGGGCTTTGCAGCAATTTGCTTGCATTGCGGACGGTGCCACGTTGGAAAATATCAGCCAGCGATGGTTCCAAATAGATAGGAGGACAGGAGGAAGACGAGAGCAGGATGGGAGGATGACAATCGGAGGACGGGAGCAGGACGGGTTGAGAGGAGGACGGGAGCAGGACGGGAGGAGGACGGGAGGAGCAACATCAAGCAAGCGCAAGCAAGCAAGCGCAAGCAAGCAAACGAAAGCGAGCACAAACAAGTAAGCAAGAGCCAGCGATTAAGTGCAAGCAAGCCAGGGCAAGCAAGAGCAAGCAAGCGAGAGCAAGTGCGCAAGAGTAAGCAAGCAAGTGTCATTGGACAACGGGGAGGGTGCCATTGGAAACCGGGGGGGGCCATTGGAAAAGGTGAGGGCCCTAAACATCAATTACTTATGATGGGCTAGGACTCTTACAGGACAAACATATTCGGATAACAAACGTTGGATAATCGTCAATCGTGCCAAGACACCACTATTG